CTTGTTCCATGCCTACCATGGTGTTTTTGTACAGACAGCACTTCAGACAGCAAGTATGCTGTAGTCGGCAATCATTCGTTTTGGTACAGAGTGGGACAAGTAGGGGGTGATGTTGCTGTAGTCGAACGGTGAGACGGACGTGTAGTTCAGTTTTGGGCACGCGTACGGTGCTGCAGGGATTATATATAGGTGTAGTAGTACCTCTTCGGGCTCTTGTACACCTTTTTCTTGCTACGTGTGCGTGTTCTTTAGATCCTCAGATGGCTCTAGCACTTTCGTGACCACGGGCCGAGAGTCTTTGCTAGATTTTGGCATTTAGCAACTGGCATACGGTTTAATGTGAAGTCAACAACAACAACAACAACAACTCTGTCTGCCGAATGGCGATCACGGATGACCAAGGGTGAAGGGAATGCGGGAAAGTAGTCCCCTCTTCACCCTTATTAGAACGAACGAGTGCCGAGTAGTAGTAGTCGGATGCGTCGAAGAAACATTTCCTGAAAGACTAGTGTCCAAGATAATTTGGGCTGTGTGATACAGCAACACAATTACTTATTCATATACATTTCGACGGTGGGAGACGGCATAATAGACAAAGCGTGTCGACGAAGCCAACCGCGCGCGCATATGTCGAGCATTAACGACCAAAACAAGCATTGCCCGAGCACGAGGGACAAAGAAAAGCGTGCAGAAGTACGAGCACTCGCGAGNTTACGCACGTGCCGAAAAACGTACATAAAAATGTAAAGAAATATGCATAACAGGTCAGGGCCTAGGGTCCGTGGTTGGCGGAGGCGCCTAAGCACCACGCACCACGCACCACGCACCGCCAGTGCCGTGTTATATCCACACATGACACAGGGCGCCAAATCCTCTCCCGCATTGCCGACGGGAGTCGGCAACACGGTGCAGTCCGTTGTTGGTGGTGGGAAAGCATGTCTACAGCAATACTGCTGTTCGAGGTCCAAACTGCTCTGAACGAGCCGGCCGCCTGATGGTCCAGTGGTCGCCTCAACAAGAACAGCAGGCCAAGGCACACAATCGGGAGTAGTCGGGCGCAGCATTCCCGCGGCATCTCAATCTCAGGTGAAGGCTTCCTCCTACGGATGGACATTCACCTGCACTCACACACTTTCGTTTCATCTCGAGCCGCCACCCACTTTAATTGTCAACGGGGATCTAAAAAAAAACAATGCAGCAGTTACAACGCTTGGTGCGTGCCTCGTGCGCCGCGCTCGCATGCTTGCACGCTTGCGCACACGCCCGCCTCGAAAATCACCTTGCTGGCAAAATATGTCCTTGGCGAATCCCTTGGCACAGTGCTCGTCGAAATGTACAATAGTTACGGTGTGGTCGCATAAGATACCACATCCCCCGGATCGAAAGCTCGACTGCTGTTCTCCACGCCCGTAATCCACAACGAAGAGGGTGCCGAAACTAAACGGTCCGCTTTCGGAAAGCTCTATAATAGTGAAGACGGTTCCAACCCCGTCATTTTCGGCCCCGTCCCTAATTGTGCTGCAGCCTGCTGTAGTCGAGGGTTGTTGATCGGTCCAGGGGGTGTGTTGTGCGACGTAACTTTCGAAACGAAACAACTTCCTTTGTTATCTGCATACATGTATGCATGCAATGGGTAATTTGTACTTCGAAGTAATTTGACTACACGGATGTAAGGTCTCCAAGCTGTGGCTGCTGTAACTCGCACCCGTTGCATTGAGTGTACTTTAGACTCGCGTGATTTCCGCGAAAATCATGAATTAAAGAAGAGAGCAAAAACGCAAATGAAAGAATGGGATTTGATTTGAGCGATTTGTAGATGGGGCCTCTCAAGTCTCCCACGCCCAACGGGCTGATGCTGTGTAATTCAGCAAATGTGTGGTACTGCCCCAAGCAGAATAATAATTTCCCACAAACTCCTCCGCATCTCTTCTGCGGTGCATGTATTTCTTTCTCTTTTGGTATAACTACCCGTGCTTCGTTTCTTGGAATCCCGCGATCATTGGACATTGTTTTCTATCCACGGCCAACCGGCTGTCAAGCAAAGTTAGCATCCTTTGATCCAACGCAGGCTGCCCAAGGTTTATTGGACACTAACATAACCCTCTCAAAGTGTTTTTCAGCTCTTTCCATGCCTCTCATGGTTAATCGTGGTTGAAGTACATTGCCTAGATGTTTTGTTCGTGTCGCTTGTTTGTGTTCGGTGTGCGAAGACCCCACGCAAAACGCCTCTTTTTTCCCCCTGTTGTTGTGGTGGCCGAATCTCATGGCAGCAATCCACATCATTGGGGTCCAGCTGCTTCCTAAGCTGGCGAGCCGCAAGTCGGCGAACATTGATAAGGGATAGTTTTAAGGACGGTGGCGCGAGAATGTACACCAGCATCCAGACCGTATTGAAGGACATGTGAGCGACGAGCGGAGGTATCGTTGCTACTGCAGTACCCGCTGTTGCCTTGTGTTTTTTCGATGGAAGAAGTTAGCCTGTTGGGGGTCTGTTCAACTGTGCTTGTGACATGAACCGTTTGGGTGATGAGGTGATGGTGTCCTTGGTAGCGAGTGCAGATGTGGTCTTACACAGCCGCATGTTTCTGTTGTTCTTGTTCGGGGGCGCGCCCTGTGTTGCTTGTTGCTAATTCTAGTACCCTAGGGACATGATGTGGCGATTCACCAAGGAACGCCTGGCTTCGTCGAGTGCCTATTAGCAAAAAGGCGACTTTTGGGACAGGACTTGCTTCACGAGTCCTTCCTCGCGCAGGTGACAGCATGGGTGTTTGCAGGTTTTACTTCATTTTACCTGGCAGGTTTCCCCTGAACACTACCAACCGAGGCCTAAAAGATGCCATGGGCAACTTTGATTTCTTCCCACGCCTAGGCCAGGAGTCATCCCGCTGCATTTATTGTTTCCCGATTTCGGATCCATCGCTTTTCCCGCAACGCTACAAGACGCACTTGTGGAAAAGCATAGGGAAGGGGGTGCTTATCCCGATTGATACTTTCGCCGGAAGTGGAGGCTACTCATGCTTCTACTGTGTGACCTAGTACCGTGAAGAGAACAGAGAACCAACTGTGCTGTTGATAGAACCAGCGGGAAGTAATTAAAGAATGCCTCAGCATCTACCAGAAGAGTATTTTAACAAGGTTTTCGTGTGATTGAGAGCAAAGTTTCTGATTGAGAGCGAGATTGCGCGATGCGCTGNTTATTGTTTCCCGATTTCGGATCCATCGCTTTTCCCGCAACGCTACAAGACGCACTTGTGGAAAAGCATAGGGAAGGGGGTGCTTATCCCGATTGATACTTTCGCCGGAAGTGGAGGCTACTATGTGACCTAGTACCGTGAAGAGAACAGAGAACCAACTGTGCTGTTGATAGAACCAGCGGGAAGTAATTAAAGAATGCCTCAGCATCTACCAGAAGAGTATTTTAACAAGGTTTTCGTGTGATTGAGAGCAAAGTTTCTGATTGAGAGCGAGATTGCGCGATGCGCTGTAGCTGGACTACCGCTGAGAGGTGGAGCTTGCTGCGTGACTTGAATTGAAGGCCTAGCCCGTAGCTACAAGCCGATACCCTGGTCATCCTGTGGGCGTCTCTCGTTGTGGAGCTACAGCGGGGAGCAGAATCTACAGCAGAGCTCACCGCCCGCGATCAAATCGCCCTGAAACAGTTTGAGGCAGGAATACCCAATCTGGGGAAATCTAGCAACTTGTCTAGCTCCTAGCTGCAGCATCCGATCGCNTCGTTTCAACACTACCCTCTCAGATACACCGCCCATTCGGCCGGAAAAGTGGCAAACACGTTGAAATCTCCTCCCGGTGTTCTTGATCCGCAAAATTGAGCCCACCCCACCACCTTCGGGGTAGCCGTTGTCGGGATCAAAGATTGCCCAGCCCCCCGGGATGAACGCAAAATAGCTACAGCCGTATGCCTTTCGGCAATCTACAGCTTGCCTCACCTCCGTCGCAGTATAGAAATGATCTTTCGCATCCTGGACGTACGTCGGAAGATACGCAATTAACAGAATACGCATGCTACTTTGGCTCATCACACCATCGGCCTACCCGTGACTTGCCCTTCCCTTCGTTACGTTCGGCCACAGTTTTTGTGCAACATGCTGCACGCCAGGTCATGGCGCCCTCGTCGCCATGCCTCCACCATACTCACAGAGTATGGGAATCCCGAGATCATGCGCTTCCTCTCCCCATTTGCGGACGGGAAGGGCAACCTCGTCGTGAAGAGACCCTGCTCGAAGACGTGCACTTCGACGTTGCCGACCTCGGGCCTATTCGTCGACGACATGAAGTGATGGCTGAGTGTTGTGAGCACTCATTCCTTCTTCATGAAGTTGAGCTTCCGCACGGGGTCGCGAAGCTGTTGGGAATACTCTCGGGCGTGGCGCTTTGTGTGGCGGTTGATTATGTCCCAGCCGTAGATTGCCTATGGTCAGGGTATTCGTCAGGTTCCAGCCCAATATCGCGATGCGGTGGTTTATTTCTGCTATTATATCCAACCGGTAGGCACGTGCGCAAGTTGGAACGAATATAGTTGATATTTCGTCCGGCAGGGGGGGAGGGCGCAAACAAGCATTGCGTGTGGACGGGAAAGATCATACGGTACGCGGTATTTTTTTGCCATTCGTGCAGCACATATATTGCAAAGATTGCCGGCTTGAGCGGGATGGAGAAGATTGCAACTGCTTGAGTCCCGTTTTCGAGAGGACAAGGGAGGCTGCCTTTATCTGTGATGTGCATCGTGTTTCCTGGCCTTGTGCTATTTTATCCCATGCTTAAAATGTCGGGTACTGTCCCAGCAAAAGCAAGACGTATCGGTAGTCAGTCGTGGATCAAAGCGGGTACAGAACGCGCCACCACTAAACCTTTTGTTGGTCGATGCTTGTTCTTGTTTTGTCTACGGGGTACCCCCATAGCGACTGTATAGGTTTTAGTGTAGTCTTGCTTGAGCACCTGAAAACTTAGGTTTTGGATTATTTAGGCTCAAGTCCTTAATTAAGTGGTGGCGCGTTCTGCCACGACACGAGACGTTGAACATGAACGCAACAAAAAAAAGGCCCGCGATCGCGATGGCATATGAAAAACAAAAATGTACCAGTACAGACACTGAAATCGCTGCCGCAGTTTGCTTGCAGGGTGCTATTCGGGCCACCCTGGCAGGGTGGACCCTGGCAGGGTGTCCATTATAGACGCTGCAGTTGATTCACCTTTGTGCCGTTTACAGGGTAGGGTGCCTTGGCAGGGTGGTTTTTGGCCACCCTGCCAGGTTAGCCATTTGGCCACACGGTTGGATCTGCCTGTGCGTGTTTGCCCTTCTGACAGATAGGTTATCGGAGTGTACCTGCATGAGTTGATCTAGACTAAACTATATGCATCGGTGACAGCAGTGATCGTGAACAGCTTGTACATAGTAACGTTTAGCGAAAGAGAGAAGCCACGAAAGCAGTATTTGTTACCCGATCCTTACGACCTTTTTGATCGAGGATACATTCTGAACACCGCTCGTTACAGAAACTCTTCCTCGCAACAACAGTCGACTTACCGAACACTCTCAAGAGCACACTGCACACAAACGTGGCAAATGAGCCTGCAACGCTAGCTTTGCATAAAACAGGCCCTCTCACATGACCCACATGTGGATACATGTCCCCATCAGGCCATCAGGCAGACAGTAGACACAGCAGAGCAGACAGAACGACGGCACGGTGTAACTTGTGTTCGTTGGTACCCCAATATTTCTCAGCAGCCGGGCCCCCCCAAAAATTGTTTACCCGCCGATCCACACGCACGACACAAACCGCACCGTAGTCTACACCGTAACTCTCCGCTTCCCCGACAACCCCCATAACCTCATCTGTCAGCCTCTCGCAACGATGGGAGTCACGGTCGAAACCACCAAAGAGGGCGACAAGCAGACGTACCCGAAACCTGGCGACTCCGTGACGATGGACTACACCGGGACGCTTGAGGACGGAACGGTGGGTGGTTGGTCGTTTTATCGGCAGGCAGATTCAAACAACAATAAATACCCCGAACCAATATGTTGTTTCGCCAGAAGAAAGTTGCCGTGTATCTCGTGTCTGATCTCGTTTGTTGGATGCTGCAGCTGGAATGGATGCTCCAGCAGGATGCGACGTACGTATGTAGCAGCTCCCTGTCTTTTCAGTTTATTGTGTGATCCGTGGTCGTCCTTGCACAACAACAGGTGTTCGACAGCTCCATCCGGAAGGGCAGGCGATTCAACTGCAAGATCGGCGTCGGTCAGGTTATCCAGGTGTGGGTTGTATACAAGACGAGTCGTCTTCACAGCAGTATCTGGGGAGGAGGAGGGGCGTCTTGTGCACATGCATGTCGCCCGCATAGAAAGGATGCAGAATCCGGACGGAGAGGATGATCATGGAACTCCTTCACACCCGCAAGTCTTCCAACAGAGCCTAAGCTAGCCTGTTTGGCGCGGAAGAATTCCAACAGATTTTTCTTCTACGCGAAAGCATGCGCGCACCGCCGTTCCTGCTCGTGCTCCGATCCTTCTTGCGAAATTACGAAATTACGAACCACACGTCGTTGAGTATGCGGTTGCTGTTGGCAGCAGTATGATAGTATGAGATAGCGGTAGCAAAGGGAGGATCCCGTGTACCGCTGTGGGTGGCGGGGAAACCTCTCACATGCCTGTAGATACCTATGCATATATGTAGATACTGCTGTAGATAGATACCGCCGTATCGATCGATGGGAAGGGAGAATCCTCGGCCCTGGTGATGCAAAGGCCACAATATTTCCAATTATCATGCGTTTTTTTTTTCGCTCCCACTAAACCCGCCTTCCGCCTTGCCCCAGGGGTGGGACGAGGGCGTACCCCAGATGTCTCTCGGGGAGAAGGCTATCCTCAAGTGCACGTCCGACTACGCGTACGGGCCAGAGGGAGCGGGGGGCGTGATCCCCCCCAACGCCGGTGAGATGTTAATCAACAACTGGTGGATAAGGCGCCAACCACGTTCTTCTACTTGCTTGGCCGTCGTGCTTTGTGAAGTACTTCTACTCCGTACAAATATGAGTGTTTTTTTTTTTCTTTTTTCTCCCATCATTGGACTCTGTCGTCTGCCCCTCTGGCCCCTATCCTCCACTTCTACTAGCTAGACGACCCAACCGGGGTCACATAGGAGGGGGGGGTTGGACCCCCTCCTGCGGTTCATGCCTGAGGTATTTTTATCGCGAGAAGGGTACAGCAATCCCTTCCCTCGCGACTTACGAAGTCGATTATGGTTTACTAACAAACGAGCTTTGCAGCGCGTCGCTCTCATCCTAGACCAGGATTTATTTAGTGAGAAAAAAACTCTCTCTGCCGGGACTCGAACCCATGACCTGGCCCTTAGCAGGCTGCGAGGCTACCCACTAGACCACCGGGGCGACCGGTGTGGTAGGTGGATGGATGCATGGATGGATGCTCTTTCGTTTGGAAGGCAGCAAGTAGTTGCACGACTGCTGTTGCTGTGCATGACAATTTGCGGTTCATGAACCGTTGTTGATGTTGTATGGATATTCGTGTGAGTGCGTGGCAGCACGTCTTTTGTGGCACTGCTGGCGTGATGAATTTGTGGTACGCCAACCTGTGTTGTCCAAGTTGTGTGTTGTTGTTATTGTTGTCGTTTCTCATATTAGCTCTATTGTCCACAAAAAAATGGGGAACCCGTGGTCTCAAAACCCGGCACATACGACGCCGCGGGGAAACGAAACAAAAATAGGGTACAAACCACTCGGAAAACGGAAACAAAATGATGAAAATATAACAACAGGTACCGCACCGACCGTTCGAGAAAAGAGCCCTCGCAAACCGATCAAAATTAAACAAAGACAAATATAAAGGAGGACGCTTCCCACACCCGCCTAAAGAAAAAAACAAAGGGTAACGTACCAGCACCAGGCACTACTCACCAGGGCATGGGAGTAACGGAGCAAACGGGACAAAGAGGCGGCAGATGGGCAAACAGCCGGATGTACAAAAAACGAAAGCAACAGTAAAAGCGAGATCAAGGTGCCCAACGCAGCATAGTAGGCAGGGAGGATAAACACAGCACAGAGACCGAAGGCAATACAAAGGACATACACAAAGGAGTATAGCATACAGCAGGGAGGGAAACAGGGCGCAACAACATCAGCCGGGCACATNCCCTACTCGCTTCTACAGCAGTGCCCGGTCGCCGTTTCTTCCCCCCCACCGCCGCTTCCCCGACTGTGTGTGTGTGTGTGTGATACATGGCGCACCCTTACTTGCTGTGTGTTGTGTTTGTGGCAGCATTAAGTAGTTGTTACACCGCGTGATGATTTTACCGTACATGGACCGTTAGGAATACACGGAAAATGCATCTAACTGCTGCTGGCGCGCCTTCCGTCTTGTTTTTTTACCTTGTACAAGTATTTCTCGTGTGCTTACATGTTTCCCCCCTTCCTGTGTGACCCTTGGTGGTTGTAGTTGTACGAACTAATACACTGAAAAAGTGCGTACACTGTCACGTCGTGTATTTGTAGTACACGTCTCCCCACGAAAAATGGGGGGACTGTCGCCAAAATAAATACTAGGACGGAAAAACGACACATAACATTGCGTACAGCGCGTACTGCATTGATTGCATAGCATTCGGCAGTAGTATGCCTAGCGCGAGGTAGTTGTTATCTCCGGTGGCAGGCACAATCAAACATACATGGAAGTGTATCGTATGTATACCAACCAGTTTAGGGTTCGAGCAAGCAAGCGAGATTCCTCTTTCATGGACGACGACGGAAGAACCGTCTTGTTTGAGGAACATTATGATGGAAATAGGGTCTTCTTGTGGAGAGGAAGACTACGACGGCGGAAAACAACGCCTTGCGAGAGCAGGAGGAGAAGGTCTTCGGTCTGCTCTGCTCCACATGTGGTCTACGGACAAAATACGAACAACTTACTCTCGTCTGGTGTCGAGGCTCCACGTGGATAGCAAATGAACCAGGTGGCACCGCAGCAGCAGTTGTTCGGATGTAGAGAGCTTTACGTTCGCTCGCGGTCCTATATTACCAAGAGGATGGTGCACAAAGTGCTGGAATTGTGTACAAGGTATATGTACCACTTGTTCGAGATGCAACCAAAGGTCGTCGAAGGAGATGGGTTGAAGTCTTCACAGCAGTGAACGGGGGAAAACCCTCCTGGATACAGGCTTGTTCCTTCAACCGCAAAACCGGCGGAGCATGTATGCATGAGGCTGTTACGGGAGGACGGCGGAGCGGTCGATGACCGACGGACCGACTCAATCAAACCCAACCTTGCTCGCGAGCTTTCTTTCTGTAGCAAACGGATTTGCGAAAGCAAGTCCCGAGCGCCGGCCAGTCGACCGACACAACAAGTGCATTTGATCCCGCCAGCTCCCTTCCCCATTTTCCCCTAATTTCCTGACCCCCCCACCCCTCGTCCCGTTACTCCACCTAGCCCCCCCCCCGGTTTTTGCCATCGGGGAAGTGTTTTCGTCGCTTGGCAACGACGTTGTAAAACAAGCCAATTCGCTTCGTGAACTCGGCAACCAGGTTACCGTTTTTTTTCTTTTACCTTTCTACCTCTGTTTTTTTTTGGCGGTAACCATAAGGGTGGTCGAGTAGATCATGTTGTGCGGGGTGGAGAACCCTCGCTCCGCGCAAGGGGGATGATCGCACCACGTTGTGTT